AAATTTAAAATAATTTATTTTCTTAAATTTTAGAGAAGTTATATAAAAAAGTTATTAAAAATTTAAAAAATATAAATTATTTTAATTTATGAAAGAAGTTAAAATTTATTTTCTTACACTGATTTTTTTTTTTTCATAAAAACTTCTCTAAAAGTTTATTTAAACTAAAGTTCAGTTTGGATAAACTTTAAAAAAATTCATTATATATAGGTGGAAAAAAATAAGTGTAAAAAATAAATAAAAATTCTTTCAAAAGTTAAAAATAACTTATACTGCTATATTTTTTTAGAAATTTTAAAAACCTCTCTCGTTTAAATTTTCTAAAATTTAAAGAGATAAATTATTTTTAACTTATAAAAAAAAGTTTATTTATTTATTATACTAACTTTATCTTTACAAATATTTTTACAAAAGTATCTAAATTGAGCCTAAACTTGTATGTTTACCTATATCAATTGGCTCTATAAGCAAATATCATTTGAAAAATTCACCATGTCAAAATAAAAAAAGTTTAACAATATGTTTAGGAATGAAGTTTTAATCGTGAATGAAGGGTTGTAAATATTAGGATTTATAAATATTATATAATTTTTTAATTTAAAAATAAAATATTTATCTTCTGATGTATGGACCAAAATTCGAGCAGCTGATGTTGCACATTACTCCCCTTCTTCACAAAACTGAGTTGTTTCAACTTTAATTTTATTATGACTCATAATATTGTTAGATAGATTGACCAAATTTCTAAGTATTGTATGTCACAATTGTGTAATTAAATTCCTTTAAAGTGACCTTTTGTGGTATAAACATCTGACCTTTGTGGGGTATTGTTTTAGCTGGATTTCCTCCTTAACATCACAAGAAAGTAATGTTATTATTTTGACTGGAATTTTTCTTTTCTTCTTCGATGGAGTATATTATAGGACCCGTTTTATTGAAACTTTTAAAAAGTGAAAGTGATTTTGTGATATATTTAATTTCAAAATTTTTTCAGAAATTGATATTTTAACTTATGAGAAACATACTAGAATGCTATATTGAATTTTTTAAAATTATATAATATATAATAATCAGCCTTAATTAAATAAGTCTTAAGACATTAAATAATATTAATCAGCTATAGATTTCAAAATTCCTAGAGGCAAAATTCAGGGTTGAAATTTTGGAAAATTGAATTTGAAAATCTTGACTCTTTGTCGCCATAGATTGCGGGAAATTAAATTGTTACACTCTTTGATAGGTGCATCCAACTCAAAACACACGTAGCCTTTATTTAGGACCAAGCAGGGACCGATTTGTGTTACTGTTTTATGACAAATAATGAAAGATTGAGTCATTCCTTAGTCCCACAAGTTACACACGGTCGTGTCCTTCATGGACAAGGGTACCCTACAAGTACAACTACCATCCTATTCCTATGTCTTCGTGATCAATCGCTTTCTACTCAGATTCTACTTAGTCGTATCTAATAATTTACATAAAATTAATCAAACAAGACTCTGCAAAAATATGCACAAGTTTCTATGGTTTTGAGAATTGAAGGTAAAACAAGTTATTTCAATTCAGAAAGTCAAAATCCGATTTCATATGTTTTGGAGTCTTCAAAAGAATCAAACCATGCGTAAACGACATTTTTTTAAAAATAAAATTTTGGGTCTGTTTGTATTGTGATTGAAACCCTGTTTTGGTACAATTAATATTTTCTTCCTTCTCATAAAATTATCTCATGAGAAATATAAGAAATGTGAATGATTAAAACCCTTTTCTGGTTAATTGAATCCAAATTAATGAATTGGTCTCGTACCTTCATTGTTGGTGCTGTGTCAAAATCAGACTTTTTGTTTTTGTTGTAAAGTGAAAAGGTAAAGGTAAAATTGTATGATAATCAGAAGATCAAATTGCATGTGTTTGAACTTATGTTTGTTCAATCATAAATTTATGTTTATTTTAATCCTATTTCGTTATTTAAAGTATATTGAAACACGGTTTTAAACATGCTATATTTGGTTTGTAATGGAAATATTACAAGAACTCTTTATTCTCTGTTATTATCTCATCATTTATTGTTATATACTCATTAAAAAAAATTAAATTCTTTAAAAAACTTTATCATTATAAAATATTTTTAAAGATATGTGCAACAATTCTTAAATCCAAATTTAGTGTCGCAATAGGATTCATCTCCATGTGTAAGTGGGAATAATTAATTAAGAGCATGAAGAATAAAAAGGGAAGCCCAAAATTCTTGCTACATTTTGACTAAATCGTTGATTCCCATATTTTCTTCCACCCACAGCAAATAAACATTCTTAAATCAAAGTTCATTTAGTTAAACCACAGACAATTATGTGTGTGTGTTTTTTTTCTTCCTATTATATGTGAAAACTCAATTGTTGCAATTATATAAATATTAGAAATCAGTTTAATCTTCTTTTAAAATTTAAAAAAATAAACCTTATAGTATATGTAATTTATTTTTAACAAAATTATTCCCCAAAATTTTTCTGTTATTTTAAAAAACAGCATCAAATCATCAAACTTATCTAAGTCAGATTTAAAAAAGAAAAAAACAACCAATACTCAAAGTGATAAGAATATATGGTCTTCCTTAAATCCTGTCTAAAATTCAAGTTATGTATGTAAAGAAAATAGAAATTTAGAACAATTTACTCACTTAAATGGATTTGCTTGGATTAATATATAAGAATTGAAAATAACTTTTAAATATCAAGAATCTAAAAAGTAAAAATAAAAACCTATCTAAAGAAAACTTTGTTAATAAAAAAATGCTACTATATCTAAATTTCTTTTCAAAGAAAACCTTTAAATAAATTACAAATCATCACTGAAAAAGAATGGGTCATTTTCTTTTACATATACATTGATCAAAATTAAGAAAGGCAGTTAATGCGTATTTGTCACTATCACCATACAAAGTTGGCAATTAGTAGATAACAAAGTCAAAATCTACCAAAAGAAAACAACAAACATGTTTTTGGTGGTCTTCTATTACCACCACCAAGTGTGGGTCATGATCTCATGTGTCACTATGAGTAAAACAAAGCACGAGAGGTTGGTTTGAAGATCACCTACTCCACTTGTCATGCCAATCTCCAAACTCTACTTTTCACATCTTTTCTTTATGTTTATTATTTAATATTTTGTGCAAACCCTTCTTTTCTTTATTGTTGTTGACATGCCATTACAAAAGTAGTAGGTTTCACAATGACCTTACCATAGACAAACATCTTTTTTACTATTACATATTTTTCATAAGCAAAAATAATATTTTAAAAAAAATTTTGTTGCCTTGCAATAAAAGAAAAGAGGCAATGAAACATTGAGCATATAAAAGCAGGTATTATGAAATTTAGGCAATGATTTAATTGTCATAATGTTCACATGGAAAGAATGAATCATAACAACTGGAAAAGAGCTTTTTACAGATATGTGTTGAGACATAGTCAATCGAGTAAACATCAATTTCCAGCCTGTGGTGCCATTGAAGCTGTGCACAAAAGCAAACTATAAAACAAGAAACAGAGTAATAAATAAACAATAAAAGAGTATCCACAAGCCACAAGGATTAGACACGTGTGTAAACCAACTTTTAGGATACGTCACAAGTTTCAGTGTTGAAGACTCGCTCATAGCCTCATAGGAAACGTATAACCGTAAGGTTAGATGTACCAATCAAACTTGTTACAAATAGCATTTATGCTCAAATTTTGCTAAATTATATTAAATACATTTGAAACTTTATTTATTTATTTTTAACAAGAAGACATCAATATTTCTATTCTTCTTAAGAAATTTAATATCAAATACTCATCTTTTCATTTATCTTATTAATTAATATTTTTCTAATAAATGTTTTTAAAATATTAATCGAAAGAAATAAAATCAGGTAAAATTAAATATTAAATTTAAACACTTGTATTTTTTAATAATTTTTTTTACAATACAAGATTGATTAATCTAATTGTTAGTTTAAATATTATTATTAAATATACCAGCTTTATAAATTTTGCTAAAAAAATAAAATAATAAATACTTAATCATGTTACTTTATTTTAGCATATCATATATTTTAAAAATACAAGTAAATATTAAATTTTAAAAATACTTATAAAAGTTATGTAAAATTTAATACTTTATTTAATAATAAAATACTAAATATATTGAAAATACAAATTTTATTAAATATTATCTTCTAAAATAGTTAAAATATTACTTAATAAAGTATCTTAAGTATCAGTTGACCAGAATTAATCTAAGTTTTGTTTGTCATTTTTATTATGATAAATTTTTATCCTATATAATATATATATAAAATAAATAAAAGGTGAAATATCAATATATATATTATATTAAAAAAATTAAAAATAATTTTTTTCTTTTTTTAATATGTAATTAAAATATCACAAAAAGATATTTACTATGCTTTATTCTATGCATAAGAATAAAAAATTATTATTCATACAATAATTTTTATAATATTATTTTTTTTCTCTTTATTCCGTTAACAATCCTACTTTATATATTTTTTTCTTTTTTATTATTTTATATAAAAACTACACGGATTAATTATATACATATAATTTTATATAAGAAAAATACCTTATGAACTTTAGGATGAAAAAAATATATCTTATTTAATATTTCGTATATTTTTAAAATACATGCATTAAAGAATAATTATATACAATAATCTTAGAAAGACATCAGTAAGAAAACTAATAAAAAATTATGTTAAATTTTATTAATAAAAATAAAAATAAATATATCTTATATTTTTAATAAATATCTTAAGATATTTAGTTTTACTTATAATAATTATTCGTAGTCTAGACTATATATATATATATATATATATATATAATAGTTTTTTTTTTCTAAAATAAATAAACTATCACAATAATGCCATAAAAAGTATTGTTGTATTGTGTGTGATGCAAACTCAATGAAGACAAACAACCAAAGTAAAATCCAGCAAGAAACAGTCATTTCACAGTTTCACCCACATCACAGACTTCATTCTTTCAACATCTTCCACTTCTCAAAAATATCCGCAAACACAAAAACATGACTTCGACTTCAACTTCAACACAACACGAACCAATGAAACCATAACCATTTCCCCAACAGACATGCCATCCCGACAACCTCAAACCGCCCCGTCAGCCATACCTCACCATCACCACCACCACCGCCTTCTCACTCCTCTCCTCGCCGCCGCCGCCGCAGCATGCTCCCTCCTGCTCCTCCTCCTAATCGTCCTCCTCCTCTGCCGCCGCAAGCGCCCCATCCTCGACTCCAAACCCCCCCACCGCCTCTCCTTCTCCCTCCTCCGCCGCGCCACCGGCTCTTTCTCCACCCGCCTCGGCCACGGCGGCTTCGGCCCCGTCTTCGCCGGCGCCGTTGCTGGCAACCCTGTCGCCGTGAAGCTCATGGACTCGGCCTCCCAGCAAGGGGAACGCGAGTTCCACAATGAACTCTTCTTCGCCTCGAGGCCCCTCCTCTGCCGCCACGTCATCACTGCCATAGCATTCTCCTCCGACCCCAAACGACGCCGTTTTCTTCTCGTCTACGACCTCATGCACAACGGCAACCTCCAAGACGCCCTCTTGCACCGCAAGTGTCCCCAACTCGCCAATTGGAACACGCGCTTCTCAATTATCTCTCACATAGCTCAGGGGCTTCTTTACCTTCACACTTGTGATCCCCCCATTATCCATGGTGACATCAAACCTAGTAATATTTTGCTTGATCGCGATTTTTTGGCAAAAGTTGGCGATTTTGGACTTGCCCGGTTGAAATCGGAGCCTCCCCGGTTTGAAATTGAGGTCCTTGATGATGGTGGTGGTGGTGGTGATGAGGAGAAGAAAAAAAAGGATGATTTGGAATTTGAGGGTGGTGGGGTTGTGAATGATGATTGTGTGTCTGTGGAGAGTGTGCATAGTGTTTTTCTTGAGGAGGGTAGCTTGGGAGTGGGGCAATCTCCTTCGCCGGAGACAGCGGCGATGGCGATGACTTCACCAGAGACGGGTTTGGCAGTGGCTGCGTCGCCGGGGAGTGAGAAGGATGTTGTTAAGAAGAATGGGAAAGGGTTGAAAAGTAATTCAGTGAAGGATTGGTGGTGGAAGCAGGAGAATGAGGTTGGGGAGAGTAAGAAGGTGAAGGATTATGTGATGGAGTGGATTGGAAGGGATGTGAATAAGGAAAGGGGGAATGAAGAAATTGGGAAGGGAGAGAAGAAGGAGAAGAAAATGAAGAAGAAGAGGAAGCAGGAATTGGAATGGTGGGAATCAATGGATGAGGAAAAGTTTGATGGGGTTTTGAAGAAGGAGAAGAGAAGGCCAGTGAGGGAATGGTGGAAGGAGGAGTGTTGTGAAGATGTTGCAAAGAGGAAGAAGAAGAAGAAAAAGAGAAAAGGAGTGAGTGTTAATGGTGATGATGACAATTGTGATGATTGGTGGGTGAGTGATGATGCAATGTATGGTGATAAGAGGAAGATGAAGAGCAGAAGTAGGAATAATAACCGTGGGAATATGGATTGGTGGTTAGAGGGGTTAAGCGGTGAGTTATGGAGAGCACGTAGGAATAGCTTTGATTCTGCTAGTGGTGAAATTCCAAAGAGTGGTGGTGTGAGTAGTACTCCTAGTATGAGGGGAACTGTCTGTTATGTTGCACCCGAGTATGGTTATGGTGGTGATGTCTCTGAGAAGTGTGATGTGTATAGCTTTGGTGTCCTGTTGCTTGTCATCATTTCTGGGAGGCGCCCACTTCAGGTGAATGGTTCGCCGATGTCTGAGTTTCATCGCGCGAATCTTCTTTCATGGGCACGCCATTGTGCCAGAAATGGGAAGCTCATTGAGCTGGTTGATCAGTCCATTGAGTCATTGGATGAGGAGCAGGCTCTTCTCTGCATCAAGGTGGCTTTGCTTTGTTTGCTTAAGTTGCCTGCTCGTCGTCCTTCGATGAAGGAGGTTGTAGGAATGCTTATTGGGGAGTTGGAGCCCCCCCAATTGCCTGTTGAGTACTCACCTTCAACCCCTTCTCGCTTTCCCTTCAAGTCTAGGAAAAAAGGCAGGTGATTTTCTACAATCAAATAACACAATTTCATTAGTAGTAACAGTAACATACAAATAATTTGTATATGGATTTAGGAGGGAGAAGTTATGTTATCAACATTGGAGTTCACTTTCTCTCCTCTTTCTCTTTTTGGGTTAACCACTTTGCTCTTAGTCCTCTCACTTTTCCTTATTTTGATACCATTGTGGCCTACTGGTTAGAGTTTGATCTATGTACATTACATTCACCTACTTTAGATATTTTTTTTCATGCTGACTTATAGCGTGCCCTGTGTGAGTTCGTGTTTTGGAAATTCTGGCCCATGTTCTAGTGGCGAGGACTGTGGTCATCTTTGTACTTCTCATTCTCTTACTTTTGGAAATGAAATAACAGCATACCTTTTGTTTACTATGGAAACTACTCCCTTGTGGGGTTTCATTACGGTTTTCCGCTTTTGTAAAATGTAGCATTGTAGCTAGACTATACAGTTTTCATCAATCAATTTTCTTCCTAGGTGGATGGGCCATGTTATTCATACCAGTTACAACAGAACATTAGAATTTGAAATGGTTAAATCCTTTGAAGCAGAATCTATCTAGAAGCTTTTCTTTTGTGGTTATGTGTGAAATGGTTGTATCAGTCAAACGAGGCACTTTTCCTTGTACATATGAACTCAAGATGCAATATTATGAAGTACTGAAAAAGGAACTTTTACACAATGTCATTTTTAAAAGCCTCAAATTGCATGTTAAATTATCAACTGTTGCAATGAACCAAAGGAGACAAGAAATTGGCCCCATGACTTCTTGTGTGGAGTAAAATAAGGTCATTTTCACACCTCCCTTTGTGGGTGGGTTCACCTATGCAGAACTTAAACAACTTGTGTAAATACCAGCTTTTATCATATGCTTTAAGCGTTGATTCATTGCTATAGCTCCATCACTATATTTAGGAGCCAATTTTTTTTACAAGCTAAAGATCTAAACATCAGTGTTTGCTCTGAAAATTTATGGTAAGCACATCCCAAGATTATTTACTGAGAGTGGGTATTATTTTGCTTTGCATGCCTCGTCTAGCTCATTCAATAGCAAATAAAAATGGAAGAGTTTCGTGGAAGCAAGACTATATGATGAACCCAACAGGAATGAACATCCTTCATAACTAGTGCTAGTTAAATGTGTGGGAGATATTATCATTAATAGCATGTTTGGATTGTAATTTGCTTCCGATTTTGGAGTGTGCAGAATTACTTTTCATCAATAAAAAAAAGATCATAGTTAGGATGCGTTTGAACATAGTGTGGGTTTCAAATTATAATTTGAGAGGAAATAGAAAAATGTTTGCTTTGCAAACTATAATCTAAACATCCTCCGATAGGATTTTGGAACACCACTGATTCAAAAAGGGGAAAAGCAAAGAAAGGAAAGAAAACTCAAATTCGTAATTGTATCCTGTAACAGTTGAATATGTGGACTAATTTTGTTCGTGACTGAAGGGAAAATGGATATTATTTTGTAGAATTCGTTGTCTGCTAATGTCCATTGTATAAATAAAGTTTAAAGAGGATTTCTTATTTAAAAAACAAACATTAATTAGTTTGAATTGTAGGCTGACATACCATATACTATTAGAGCGACTTTGATTGAGTAACTACATTTATCACAAGAGAAATAGTAGCAACACTCTCTCTAACATATTTTAATTATTGACTAAAATTTATCAAAAACTAAAAATATAAAAAAAAATATTAATTTAAAAGTAAAAAAGAGTGAGATTCAAATAATTTTTACAAATTTTAATAAATAATAAGAGATGTGTTATAAATAGTGCTTCAGAGATTATGTTGCTACCTTTACTCTTTATCACAAAATGAAATTGAAATACCATAAACCTTTTCTTTTTTTTTATTTTTTTGTTTTTGGTCCAAAATTAAATGAAATGGAGATACCATATTTCTCTTTTTGTTCTGACCCAGATACCAATTTGTTTTGGGTCCAGAAAATACAAGATATCTTTAAACTCCAAACTAGGGCCAATTTTGTTATGTCGTTATAGTAAAAAAAGAGTGATGTTTGACAAAAAGCAAAAGTTCAGAAAGATGTCATTGTTGGTGGGTTGTTCCAAACCCATGCCCCCATCACTAGAGTTGTGTATAAAATTTATGCAAATATCATAATATGTTTGTCTTTTATTATTTGACTTTTTCAGATAATATTTTCACTTGATAAGGTAGAACCTAGTCTTCTACAATACAGCCAAATACTAAAGTGAGGACCACCTTCAATATTCTTCTCTCCATATACCTGAATTATGGGATCAAATCACGTGCAAAAAGAATTTAAATCCCTTCCTTTCAAACCAATGGTTGTTAGTAATGACATGTTTGGGGTGATTATTTTCCAAAATTTGCATTCTCCTTTTAAATAATAATTATAAAACATTACATTATTTCTTATTTAACATTACGTTTTTAAACATTTATGTTAAAAATGATTCCAAATATTTTATTATTTTTTAAATAAATATTTTTAAAAAATAAGTGACAATAACAATTAAGTCTTATCCTAATAGGCAGAAGAAATAAAATAACAATAAAGTTAAATTTTATAGCTATTAATAAAATTTGGAACTGAAAAGAAATTTTTTTCTCAGATAAAACAGCCCCATAAAATCATTTATTTCAAGAATACAATTTTTTTGGAATTCAATGGTTGTTTCAGTATGCGCTTGCATAATCCTATTCCTTGTGACAACATAAGATCTTAAAGATGCATATCGTCTGTGACTGTTGGCATGCGGTGTTGCCATATTTTAAAATGTTCTGGTTACGGTACTTTTAAATTTAAAAATATATTGAATATTTTTTTAAAATTATATTAAGATATTAAAAAATATTTATATTTTTTTAAATATATCACTAACTCTATTATTAAAATTAACTATTATAATTGTTTCACTTATACAAAAGTATAGAATACTTCATCATTTTCTAGAGCACCATAGAATTTAACGTTTTAAAAACTAGCATACTAAATGCATTTTATAAGTTCAAACTTATTTCCATTTCTGTTTTCTTATAGATCAAATATATTATCTAACTCATAACTAGAGATTAATTCTTTTGACATGTAATAATTCATTCATTAATTTTTATTAACTATACTTTGTCATTTGTGTTTATGTAAGATGGTGGTTAACGTTTGAAAAATTCTTTTAACTATATATCAAATCTTAAAAATCTGTCATGTTTTGATTTTTTTTAAAACAAATTATTGTGTGCTTCACGACCGTTATATATTCATTATTTTAACTAATTAATATATGACATGTGGTTTAAATTTTCAATTATAAAAAGTTATTAAAAAAAATAGTTATGTATCATGTGATAATTAGTAGAAATTATAATATAATTTTTTCATTTGTTAAACATAAGGTTATTTGATAATTTTTCATTCAAGTTGTCCGACAACTTTTTCTATTGATGCTTTAAATCACTTGGTTAAGTTGAGAAATCTACTCAACAAAAGCTAAATCATAAAGAATTTTTATGTAGCACTAGGGTTATGAAATTTTTAATTCCATAACAGTGTATGCATGTATGAAATTATGAAATCTCCATCATGGGTATATTGTCATCTTATTGCCAGCCAAATTTAAACACAGAACAGAACAACAGCATATTCACTCAAAGCCTTAATCTTAGATGATATGATCTTATGTAAAATTTTGCATAATTAAATATTATTCTGTCAAATGTACGAGTCTATTATATAAATAAGTCCATTCTTAACCTAATGTAACACTTTACATTCTCATTTTAATTTTCAACAATTGAATCATATTCTCATTCAGAATATATGGATCTCAAATGGTTTCAATCCAAATGTATAAAAATATGGGTTAGATAATAGATCAAGGCAATTTTAGAACAGATCTATTTATGTTTACAACAAGCTCATGTTACATCAATTGATTCTTTAACTAAATTTACCTGCACAAATAGGTCTTTATATGCCCAACACCATTATATTTTCAAATCATGTAAGAGCAACAATCTTACTGTAAAGCCACCCATTTGACATCATTTGGCTCATCCAACAAAACACCTACAGAGCAAACGCAGGTTCACACATTTAAAGATGGAACTTCATGCACTACAAGTTTCATGAACTAATTATTAACGAACTTTATTCTAATCTATTAATTAAACAAACTTGATCATTACCATCAGATTACTTTGGAAGAGGACTGTATATGTTCAGATGTTTCCATGCATCATATCTACACCATCTCTCTCTCTCTCTCTCTCTCTCTCTATATATATATATATATATATATATATATAATTAAATGTTTACTTATTTCTAATAAAAAACTGTCACAACAGCACACATCATTTGTTGGTTGAAAACTCACGATAGAAAGAAAAATGCAACACGAAGCATACAAGTTATACCATCTGAAATGTTTTTCCTTCTCTTTCCGGAATGTTATCTTACTATTGAAAAAGAAAGTGTTAGATATTAAGATCTTCTTAACATAATTTTTTCATTAAAAATTAAACTGTTAATTGGTATATATATCATGGAGAGATATATCTATCTTATAACAACAGAATTATCTGTTACAATCATACATATCACATTGCTAATATAGATGAATAATATATATGTTAATTAATTGAGAGCAAATATATATATATATATATATATATATATATATATATATATATATATATATGTTAATAGTTTCCATTAGAGAAAAACTATATTGACAGACACAAATACAATGTATATAATTGCTAACCTAGTCGGCAACAATTTTGCGCCCTCGTGAATTTAAGAGAAAATCGAGCTATATATATGAAAAATTTTCTATCACTCACATTCGCTACAATTTTTCAAGCAAATTAATGGATCTCTAAATATACACAGTATACATAAATAAGTTATATATGATTTGAATTGCGGAGCATCACCAAAAATTTAGGTCACTATAATATTCCAGCTGTATTGATTTCTACAGCAACAATTGCTGTCCATTTTTGGAGCAGTTTTTGTGTAAAAGGCAGCTTGGCATAAGCCTCATTGCCAAACACAATCTTGGGTAAGGCAGTAATTTCAGTTTTTAGAGTGATATTAGTAAGTAAGTCATGATAGAAAATCAAGCTGAAATCTTCTCTAAAGTCATGTCTTAATAGTTCTACTTACATACAGACACATATATAAACTAATTATAATATCTTCTTGTGTTTGGTAAAGTTTCATCTAACATCCAAATTTAAAATCAAAACTCCAGTATAAGATACAACTTACAACCCATGCTCAGTATCACACAACTCTTCTACCAATATTCCCGGTTTCAATTTGATGGCATAATTCAAGAAATCATGGGTGAAAATTGAGCTAGAATAATTATCTTAAAACCATACACATGATGAAAAAGAGATCTGTCGGGGTAAATCAACTCGATAAACTTGTAAGTCCAATTAGAACAGACTCAATAAAAGTAAAGTTGGCAATGAAACAATCAGTACTCATCAGTATGAAAAACAAGGAAATGAACTAAATCCATTTGATCGCCAAAAAAAACACTGTAAGATAAAAAATAAAAAAAAATAGGGAAAAGAAATGAAAATTTTGATCTACACAAATTTTCTTTATTCTTCCCGCTCTCCACAAAAACAAAGAAGAAAAATCTAAGGGCTTATTTGAAATAGCTTAAAAAAAATTATGATTCTCATAAGTTGTTTTCAATTTAGTTTAATATTTTTCATGATTAAATTTAAGACATAAGTTATTATGTTAAAGATTATTGAATAAGTACTTAAATAAGCAGTTATCTAAACAACATATTCTAAATCAAAGGATGAAAAGAGACAGTGGCAGCGTAAAAATTGTAAGCAAACCCATCCACAAACAAATTCTAGCCAGTTAGAAAGGTCTAAAATGCATGTTATGTGGTAATTTCTTGTCAGTAGCCAGATTGTGAGCCTAGAACTCCAACCATAAAGTTAATCAAAACATTTATGTGTTGGAATTACATTAGCAACTTTCCTTCTCAGCTCAGATAGATCTACGCTGTTGGAATCATTAACCTGTGAATCAATTTCAATAGGGAAAGCATATAACATTAGAGTAAAATTTTGGAATGAAATTATAGAAGAAACCCTTAATTACTTACCTCACACTGGACACTGTGGAGCAATCTACCATTGGCTTCAGTTGAGAGGCAACTAACAACTTCAAGTCCTTCTTCAATCAGTAACTGTAGTAACTTTGAAAGTTTGAAACTTTCTTTTCTAAAGCCGCTGGTGATTTCAATTCCCACAATACCATTGTTCTCATGGACAGTGAAGTTTCCATATGTATGCAAGGTTTCATGGTTATTTTCCATCTTGGAATAGTTGGAGAGTTTCTTCAGTTTATCTCTTTTGGCACCAAGTTCTTTGATATTGTGCTGCATGTGCTTTATGTAATTCACTGCCTCGCTCATGTGGTCAGATATTGAACGCTTTCCCTGAAAAGGAATAACATATACATGCAGTGAAAGATAGGAAGGGATACAGAAAAACGAAAGATATAATAAGTTCTGAGATATGATAGAGAAAGAAAAATAATGAGAAAATTGAGGTATAAGAGAGGTAAAAATATTATACAGGTGAATAAAAATCAAAACACCCCAAAAACCCATCATAGTAACCCTAAACAACCCAGAAAACTTTAAGCATAGAACATAATAAAAAAGAAAAAGAGAACAAAAGCAAACAAGCTTCAGTTAAGTTGTTGAGTGAATTTAAATAGATTCATCAAACACAAGAAAATATATACGGGCCTCCACATTGGATTCTTAATGAGAGAATATGTACAAGTAGAAATAAACTGATGGAGTAGTCCAATCTTGAAAGGGTATACATCCACTAAAATTGAAACAGTTTACTTGGTGATTTCAAATCAAGGAGTTTATAACAGTGTACTGAAAAGGTACAAATAAAAAAATGAAGGAAGAAAAACCGAACATAGATTTCTCTCACCTTGATGAACTCAAGAGGGAGAAGGGATCTAAGAGAGGCAATAAAAGTAGCCATTTCTTGTCTCCTTTGCCTTTCAATCTCCCTATGGATCATCTTCTTCTTGTGTTCATTAGAACTACCATGATTCTTATCAGCCCCATTAAAACATTTCTTCGGGTGGCTACTACTGAATTTTTTATCGGAATAATTGACATCCAGAGAAGCATAATCATCCAGAATCAGATCTTCGGAGATTTTGTGTTGCTGTTGGTGGGGGCTATTAGAAAACTGAATGACCAGCTCATTGCCTCGTTGTAAAGGAAACATGGTGTGCTCAATTCAGTGAGTAGTGTCTAAATTATCCTTTATTTTGGATATGGAAGAAACAGATTCATTTCATTTGGGCATGGCTATTTCTAGCAAGCTTCCACGAGCATCTCACATGTCAAAGATTCTTCTCTATATTCTCAGATAAATGTTAGGGAGACTTTTTCTTTTCATCTTTTTAACTAATAATAAAGGAAAATAATTCACTTACTTTAGGGAATACGATATAATTAACTCACTTCGCTTAATTAATTTTTTAAAAATAATAAATTTATTAATTCAATTAATAATTTATTATATGTTTAAAATGTTATTTTATTTATAGTCAAATAATTTTATTTTAATATACAATATAATTTTTAAAATAAAAAATTATATATTTTTAAATGTTCAATTTATCTAAAATATTATATGCATGGTTACGAAGAGATATTATAAAATTTAATTCTTATCTTAAATTTTATTAATTCAATAATTAAAATTTTTCTGTTGAATATAAAAAAAGTAATTATTGAATTAGTAAAATTTAATATTTGTAAAAAAATTATTAAATAAAGTAAGTAATTAATTAATTTTTAAAATAAAATACTTATTAAAAATAAAAAAATATGTACATAAAAAGTAAAAGAAATATATCATTTTAAACCTTTCGTCAGAATGCTAAATAGTACACCAACTAAAGAAAAATAAAGTATAAAAACTATTTATCATAAAAATATATTATGAAACATATTAAATATATTTTAATAAATCCATCAAAGGCTTTTTCGTATCGTTACAGGCAAAGCCATAGTATGTAAGAAGTGACCTCATTTGCTGTATTTTATATCGTAATTATTTGAGGCACTGTTCATATATGCGACTCCTACACCTCCCATGAGTGTTCACATCATTTGCCTTTCGTTTTCTTTTTCTATGTTTAAGTGTAATTAAATAACAAATTCATTTCACTATTATGCTTTTCTTTGATTGAGACAGTGTTTAGTTTGAACTTAAATTTATAGATAGTTGTGTGAAATTTGCAGTTGCATAATTTTAATGAAAACGAGAGTTCAGAATTATTAGAATATGAAATGATATAAAAATATATTTTAAACATTTAATCTAAAAAATGAGATACTAAGTAATCTTGTTAATTATCATATATTTTTAGATATATTTTTTAAGTAGTAGCTAGAAAAGTTATATAGACCTATAAAAAAGTTTATAACTTAAAGCCTGTGCTTTAGTAACAATAAATTATTTAAAATCAGCCAATGGCATGTCACTTATGAAGAATACTAATTAATACCAAATGTTAATTAAATAATTAATTTTTTTTAATAAAAGTATAATATTTAATACTATCTTAATATTTCCACAATTATTTATAAGACAAAATGATGAGATAAAAATACTATCAAACTTTTGAGAATGCAAACCCTTTTTTTTTTTGTCAATCATCAAATTTATTTCTTTTAATATGAAGATTATGATTCTCTAACCCAAATTAAAAAAACAAGTACGAAAAGCAGATTAGTGGTGGGAACAGCCTTATAAATAAAAAGATAGAACAGTATCAACGGAAGGATTTCTCTGACGTCAGGAATATATGTTCCTAAACCTCCATACCATATGTGATTAATTTGGCAAATGAGTTTAGAGGTAAATGTTTTTTCTTAATCGAAAATACATAATACACCCACATATGCATAGTTTAGCAACAATAATATCAAATGTAATACATTTTTTTAACATACTTTTAATAAGTAGTTAAACTTTATAAAAATTACATGAATTTTATTATTTTTTACTCATAAATTAATATTTTTTTATATTTTCATAATTTTTAATAAATTTTAGTTAATAAATAAAAATTTATTAAAAATATGTTAAAAATATATTATTGTAGTTATTATTCTAAAAAAATTACACCATGTTCCACTTTCTTTGTTATTTTAATATTTTTTTAGTCCCAATTTATTTATTACTTTAGAATATCAAAGCAGAATTATTTTTTTATTCAATTTTACTCTCCCTTAATTAATTAATATGCGAAGTACAAAAATGTATTTACTTTTTCAACAACTATTCTCTTTATATTATTTTATTTTTTAAAAATACCTCACTTTCACGTTATTAGTGAAGTATTCTTTATTCTTCCTTAGAGTAAAGGACTTAATGTAAAGAGAGGAAAGATATAATAATTATTTTTAATTTTCATAAAATTTAAAATAACAATTAAATTTCTTAATTATGTGTTAAAACTCAATGATCACTAAAATAATAAAATAACAAGTAGGTGTAGGAGGCAGTAGTTATGAAAGGAAAAGTTGGGATATGTGTTGCGGAGCCGTTAAGGTCAAACGTTGTGGCTGAATGTGGGATATGTGTTGCTCACACACACAACAACCCAAAGAAGTTGCTACGACGGAATTGACTGATTGCGCCATCATAATTGCTTTTTTACGAGTAAATCATCACTTTTATTTGTTTTTATTCAATTAACCACATCGTGAAATCACCATTTTATCATTATTTTAAAAGTTGAGCACGTGGTGTTTTTGGGATAATGCATAATTATTTTATTCAATTATCTCTAAATCCATCATTGTTGGATCCTACTATCTAAATCAAATATGATCTTAATTAAACTTCATCCTCTGTTTCTTTCTACCTCATAAGCACTGTCATACCTACTATATAAGTATTTAATGTTCTTATTTTATTTAAATATATTTTTATTTCTTATATTTTTAAAAATAATTTTAATTTTTTCATTTAAGTAAAGTTCCTGATTTTTATTGCCCGTTGTAATTTTATTCATCTTGGACATGATTCATTCGGCTTGAACGAGATTCTCCTCCGGAGAATATTTGTGTTATAGAAAAAAAAAATGATAATTTATTATGTTTGGTTGCAAGGGAATCAATCATAGGAATGTCTCAGCCAGCACCACACTGTATAAATTGTGTGCAAGATCAATCACTGGATATCCAAACATTGCACTGGGTTTAGTTCCCAACTACCACAATCCAAACAAAATCCCATTTTCTTGGTCTGTAAGCATAACCAGAACCTAATTCTACCAGCCACAGCAAATCAAAATCTGATGCATTGTTTGAGTTGAAAACACGTTGTCCAAAATAACTGCATGCCAAATCACCACCTATACATTGCTGTCTTTTGTCTTTGTTACATGAGGGAAATGTTTTACTTTTAGATTAATAAAATTGTATAATATTTATGATATTAATAAATAATTAATACCTTATGCTAATCAACAAGGGTTGTATATGCAATTTGGTTTGCAGCCATGTAGTCCAAATGCTGCACAAGAATGCGATCGCATTCCGGAATGAAGGGGCTGATTGGGTGAGTTACTGAGTTAACCACAATAAGACCAAGGCAATGGATTTAGGCAAGTTTTCATATTTAGTATATAGATTTGAAACTTATCTTTAATATATTTTCTTTCCCTAGTAAAATAATACATATTATTAAAGTTAAGGAGTAATCTATATGTAACTCAAAATTTAACGAAATAAATAGATCTTTTCTGTGTGGAAGATTATATTTCAAGTATATATTTTGTTGATGCCATTGTAAAAACAACTCATTAGATGAAAAATCATTAGAGATTTTCTTCCTAAAGACAAATTAGAAAATAGTAGAAGAGATTTTGGAATTGAAATTATGGGAACAAAATGTGGCAGCTGAGAGGGACAAACCACAAGCTAGATTTACTTGTTTGCAAGGGGTACTCCTAAACAAGAGAAATTGATTGCTACTTACTACTAGATTTATGTGTTTGAATTAATCTTTTGAATTTCAATTTTAGGTTGCATATAGTGACTTAAACAAAGTATGGACAGCATTTGAAGTGCAGTGTTACGGTCAACACAGATGTGTTAGCTGGAACCCCTAGAGTTCTGATGCGTGGCAGCAGATATTATATTGTTTTTTCTGAACCTTTAGCAGCATGTTTTTAATTTTTTGTTTTTTAACCTAAGCAAATCTTCCGTAATCTCTCATCAATTAAATAAGGGATTTGGATTCTAAAATAATTAAAGCGAACCCGATTAAAAATTTCATTAACAGCTCGGCAGGATAATGAAATTCTAAAATATTATATTCTTTTGTTTTGCTTAATGGGCCATACTTCTTAAAACTTAATTATATTATGTTTATAATCAAACAACTTAGACCAAGGCTGGGAATCCCAAGGGCCCTTAAACATTGAAAATGATCAAAAAATGAAATAAAATAAGATAGAAAACGTTTGTGGTGAAGATTAATATATAGTTCAGTAGGCTACGTAATGACATGACACCAACCAAATAAAGTAAGCAAATTAATTAATATGGCTTGGTTTTGGGATATCCGTTTAAATCCAAATTATAGGGATCCTTGTAGTCATTGGTTCATGACTTAAGTGCTGGCTTTACCCAATTTTTCTATGCTCTTAGTCGTTCCTTTTCTCAAAACTTTCTATGATAATCGGTTATTTTTATTCATTTTTTAAGTTTTCTTATTCCACAATTGTAGCTAAACGCTGCAAACCCCTATATTTGCTCTTTACAATGTTTGGAATGAATATGTCTTTTTACTTGAGCAGCTCATAAGCTCATGCGTGGCTAAATGCTCAGATAACAAAAATTAGGTGGGAAAAAATTATTTATAATTAGTTGTTAAATAATTTATAACTCTCATGTTTGTAATGTTTTTGGAATTGATCCTTGATGTTACATGTAAATGGGACAAAAAAGTTACTTTGATGAACAACTTATTGTTGAAGAAAGCTACCCGTTCTTTAGTCCACTGATCTTAATTTATTGTATCCATTTTGTTCTTTTCATCTTTTCATATGTGAATCGAGAATTTGAAAAACAACATATTGAGTTTCTGAAGTTGACAATGATATTGATAAATAACCAAACGCTGCGTTTTTCAATCACGCATGAAAAGGAAAACAATGTAAGAAAATAGACAACATCAATGAATCTCTCTAATTATTTGAC